CGTATAGTAGTAGAATGTAAGGGTGGTCCAATACACCGGAACGTCCTGAACCACTAATTTTAATATTAACGATAAGTGTATAATGTTTTAAATATGTTAAATACGTGTATAAATTATAACCGATTATTATATTAGTACGATGGATTTAAATAAACACTACCTACTTCACAAACGTCTTTTTTATATCATCACGAACGTCCGTAATACGAACAGAACACACGAGTACGAGAACATTTTATTTTATTAGTATAATATTTCATGAATTACATTTACGAAAAGCCTAAATAAACAACAACGAGAATAGGTACGCACGTGAGTTTATACCAATACAAACGAAATGAACATCTCAGAAATTCTTGTTTGTTCGGTACGGAGGTATATGGAAGTAAATTCAAAATGTACATTGCATCACGGGATTCCGTTCGCATGGCATGTATTATAATATTATAACAACACGGTTATCCCTAGAATGCCACGTTTCCGGGGTGCGCGTAGTGCGTATACTTTGCAGATAAACCATGTACTCGCAGAACACGAAGAATCGAAAAGGGGTGTAACGCGCGCGTTTGTACGAATCTATATGCGTGTACAAAATATATAGGTATATAACCTGTATGCGTGTACTAATACGTATATAGTATTCGTATCAGGCGAAGGATTAAAAGGATATTGTGTGAAGGCGTTTTGAGTCGTAACAAGTGGCAGATGGGTGGTCAATATAGATAGCTCTATACGCATACACACTACGCACACCGTACATACACACACACACATACACACATAATATATACGTATAAAATACTAACGTATGTATACGTGTATACGGCATAATGTAAACGAGGGTGTTCCACGTGTGTGGTCTCCCGGTCGGATAAACGAGCGCGCGCGTATAGGTTTCTTCTGGTAGCTGTTGCAGTCCTCTTACACACACACACACATATATATATATATTATATACATACATATCCTCTATAAGTAGTACTACATATAGTGGCTATATATACATATATATATATACGTATAGTGGCGCCGATGTTTATTTACATTTCCTTCCCTCTTGCTCATTCCTTCACACTCTTTCCGCACATATGCATACTACGTTAGCCCCACTCTCCTTATATTCCTTCCCCTTATCCCAACAAAACTAACTCGGAGCGTAATATAATATAATGTCGTGGTCGGTATACATACGGTATTCATATAGTATTATAGTTTATTTTTTCCTTTCAAATGATAATAAACGGATACTTATTAAATTGGTAAAGATTTTTCGATTTAATGAATTAAAAAAATATATATATACGAAAAACACACAAAAGCGGACACACGGACCGTATGATAAGGAACATGTATATAATTCGTTTTTAATTAATATGAAATGGACAACTCGCACAGGCTCGCATACGTATATGTATATTTATTTACACGTATGTTTGGGTATATAATATAATATATTGTCGTAAAACAGTCGGTGCCGACGGCCGGTAAACCTGCAACGAGCAATAATTCGAGTGTGGCATGTACGCGACCAAGACGTTTTACACCTTTTTATACACAATTTGTTATGCGCACGTTGTGTTTGTGTATACCGTATACATTATAATATATATAGTACACTCGGATATTATAATAATATGTATAATATTGGGTTTTCATCTCCTATATATATTTGTTTTATACAATTATTTATTCACACACGCACACACACACACACACACACACACACATACACTGTGCGCGTCCCACGGTAGCCCGTTTTCTTATGCGTACACGTCTAAAAAATTTACTACCAATCGTCGACACACGGTAGTTATATACTATACGTATCAATTACAAGGCGTGGCGACACTCGACATACGTTCAATGCGTACAAACAACTACACAAGTATATTACATATACGGCTCGCAGGAGCACCGGAATCGATGTATGGTATATTGATCTAGGACGGTTGCCCTATTGACGGATCCCACTCCCCATCATCGTATCCTGCGCACGTTCTTGTCAATTTTGTACAAAGGATTATCACAAAAACTTCAGTGCCCTGGCTAGATTTTTTTTGTTTTTGACCATTAACTTTCTATTGACAATAATAACTTCGGCCCCACTGCGTAGGAAAAGCAGTATACATGCGAAACATCGAGAACAATTTTGTATTTAACATCAGCATATACACGATACTAGGTATGTATCCGATTGGATAGTAAAATTCCAGTGAGTGTTATTATAAGTTGGATAAAACGCAAATGGACTATTAACATATACATATTATAAAAGGTACACTAGAAGTATAAGTATCAGCGTAATATATTATATTTTTGTATTCTTGAATGAAAACAATTGCGAGGTAGTCATCTTGATGAGCTGCTCACAGCTTGGACAGCACTTACAGAGTTTATAAATAAGGTTAGTTTTTTGAATCCCAAAAATACATTGAAATCAATCGAGTTAAGTATAGAAATGTATACTTTTTATATAAATACATTAAAAAATATATAATTATAGTAAATATTTATTCGAATTGTTTTAATAACCAATACCTGCAATTATAAAAACTTTATTGAAACGTTTCAAACATTTTTAAAATATCGTATTAAATGCTTAAGCTTTAAACCCTAAAAATACTCACTTATCAGAAAGTATATAAAATACCTGAATTGTAAGAAAATGTCAAGTAGAAAATAAATATGGAGTACCGAGTTACCACTAATTTTTATCACTTTCCAAATTGGATCCCAAAAATGATAAAAAACAATTTAAAAGTTAATTTCAATACGAATACCTTATAATGACGATTTACACGTAGATTTAGTATGTAACCTGACCGTATTCACTTGACCCCTTATTTCGAAATACGGTTAATAATTCAATGTCCATTAAACCAAATCAATCAACTGAATCGAATAATATATATTTGATATTTTAAAATAAAATGTATTATTTTATTTAAGTATTAAAAATCTTAAATTATTGTACGATTAAAAGATAGTGCATTCTTGAACTAAAATATAATCAAATCTACTTTTATTGTGCTTTTTGACTAATAAAATCAAGAAGTAAAATTTAAATATGGAAAGATAAATGTTTTAATTATATGCAGATTACTTTATCTCGTTTACCAGCATTTACCCTAATACAATACATATATACTAATATAAAGCAATTATTCGCTATTGTTAAAATTGCATTGATTAATTATTGTATTACTACCAGACGTTTGAATTATCTTGATACCTCGATATCCAGTACTCAAGGAATTCCTCAATATTTTTCAAACCAAAAAATTTTAAACTCAGCATATCTCTTACATATTTTTGTTTTTGTTTAAATCTTTAAAACAACAAGGTGTAAATATTTTAAGCAAAAATTTGTCATTAAAATAATGTAAAAGTATACATCTCTGGTCTTCAAAAAAATTGGTGTAACGTGTATACATTTCAAATATGCGTAAATTGTTTGCCGAAAATAGTGTGTGCAAAAATTATTCGAATACTGCAATTGTTCGTGCATACATTGTTCGCATGTTCAATGTATTATTAATTCAAATTAAGTTTATATAACTAATGATAAATTAAAATGTCAATAAATATTTTTTTTTTATAAATAATTTTATTCGTGTATATAATTGATAAATATTATAATGCATAAAAAATAAAATATAGTGTAGTTAAGAATTTTTCTACGTTTGTGGATGTCAATAAGAAGGTATATAGTTGTTATATTTGTAATTGAAAATCGTATGCAACACCACATAGATAGTCGATTTTTTTATAGTTATTATAATCTACATACTTTTTTTGATGGTGGTTCTTAATCCGCGACATGCTATTGAATTTTTAAACTATCAATATTTTCTTTATTTAGAAGTACATGTATAAATCTCTAAATTGATGGGTAATTGGATTAATAAAGTGTAGTCGAAAAAAAATTGAGATCACAAAATTTATTTTTTTTATATAATGAACATTTCCAATCCATTTTTGTTTTCGTTTGTTTTTCGTGGTAGAATATGCGGCTTTTTTGTATGAGTAAATTTGTACCCCAGTCACTTTTTACAGATTTTAAAGGCGTAATAATTTAATATTTATTACAGTAAAATAAAATTAGACTGAGAAAATACTGATTTTATGATACTGACTGCATTGTTCTATGATTTTTGTGACAGGTGTGAGTTAGTATTACGAGTAGTATTATTATGAATACTATTGCAGAACCTATTAGAAGTGAGATTGTTGTGTGATAAGTTAGCGATACGATTTCAAAACATATTTAAAACACGTCATATTTCACGCTCAATCAAATAGGTGTTTAAGATATATAATGTAAAATCGCATAAATATATGGTATTTTTTTACGAACAATTTATGCGGGAACAATTGGACGTGATACCATATATTTCGAATGAGTAATAATAATAGTAAAAATAAATGTGTCATACAAATTAAATACTAGAAAATAGATAAATTTGTCTGCAGTGTGTTTACAGTAATATTAGGTTCACGTGTAAGTGTAAACTGTATGTACCTAAATAGTACATGCATATACTATGGAATATAACGAATACGATCAAGCCGATTGTATTCGGTAGAGAAACGTACGAGTTTTTGTGCATTTTCTAAACATATGATTACACTTGAGTACAGAATTTAAGTATCCATCTAAAACGCGTGTAATATTTTCCAACCAGATGTCAGACGTACTCGTTGTTTATGCAGTCGCACCGAATAAAACGCGACGAGCCGCAGTCGATACCATCGGTATCTCGTACTGAATCGAAAAACCCGCGCGTAATCCGACATTTTCGAAACGCATGCAGTCGAGCAGTAATAAACGTACGTACGGATACGAAAAAAAAAGTGCAGCAAAACGAGAACTTACGACGCGCAGCTACACGGTGTACGCGCGAGGTACCGCGGGAGTCGGAATTCGGAGTGAGAGAGAATGAGAGAGAAAAAAAATAAATAAATCGATAAACCGCGTTAATTATTTAACGATCAATTACCTGCTGAACTCGATGTTTTGCGATCGAAGCCAATACTTGTTTGTAGTGTTCGGCGGGTAACAGCAGCATCATGTCTCTCACTCTCTCTCTCTCTCTGAGTCGGGTGAACTTCACGGTTACGCGACGTCGTTCACTACGGTCGAGCACGTGTCACGTGGCGTACAGGTCGGACGGACGTACGTTTGGCGCAAATGCTCCATGGCCAATTGTCACGCTTGTACTGTGCGGTGCCGGTGCCGGTGCGCCGGTCGTACGCGGGCGGTCGGCGGGCGGAAGCGTCGCGATACCGAGCGCGCGCCGTTTGGCCGACCGGTGCAGCGCGCCAACCGGCCGTATTGGCCGACGCGCACACCCTCTTCGGTTTTTCTCCTCTTCGCACGTGCGCGTCGCAACGGTTACGATGATTATTATGATTTTCCTTGGACGGACGATGAGGTGAAGGGGAGGTAAATGATAAAAAATCATTGATACTGTATTGCTTTTTCGTTTTTCGCGATAAGTCCAACGTCGCCGCGGCGGGGCGTCTCAACGGGGGTGGTTGAAAATACGCCGAAACGAAAGTGAAACGAAATAAAGGTGAAAAAACACCGTGTTTGTACGTTATCTTCGAACACTTAATACTGATTGTAAATTGTCAACGAAAAACGTATATTATAATTAATTTGCTTCGATGATAAACGATATAATATTTTATGACAGTTTAATATGATTAGCGTACATTTTTAAGTCCTTTTTAACGCGCTTTTTAATTTTGGAAAGAGCAAACGTCGCATGGAGTGAGATCTAGATCTGTGGGGGATGTAGCACTGGAATTAGATTTTTGTCTAAAAACTGTTTTATTGATAAAGCATTATGAGTCGGCGCGTTGTCTTGATGCAAAACCACGATTCGTTTTATCATAATTCTGGTCGCTTTCTTCTTACTCTTTCTATAGTGTGTTCTTCTCGTCAAATATTCCGAAAACTTGTAAATAATTATATTAATTTACAGTATGTCCTTGTGATACCCATTTAATTAGAATTAATTTTTAGAATCCAAGTTTCATCAAATATTATCACCCTTTTCAACAAGTTTGGCTCATTTCGCATCTGTTGGAGAATGTCTATGCAAATTTGTTGCCGACTGTTTTTTGTTCCTAAGAGAGATTTTAGAAACCATTTCAACACAGACTTTTGTCATGTCAAAATAAATAATAATTTAATAATTTTATTAAACAAATTATTTGTCTAACGGTCTCCTTGTCAATATTAACCATTTCAGCTATTACTCTAATGTTCATCGCCATTTTTCATATGATATCATTAATTTTGAAATGTTTTGATGAGCATGGACAGGCAACACTTTGTTTGTTTTTAACTTCATTACGACCTTCAAGAAACAGTTTATGCCACTCAAAAACATATGTTAGTTACATAATAGCATTTCTGTACACATTAGTTGACAAACGTAAACTTTCCGTCGCATCTGGAACAATGTCATTAACTATGGATATTTTTAATTTACAACGACTTGGAACATGCAGTACTTTAAATTAAGTTGGGAATACTTAAGCACCCCTCTTGTCTTCCCCCTCATAGTTGCTTCACTGCTAGTGATAATAATACTTATAGTATATTGTATATTACAGTCGATAGAAAAAATAAATATGTATGTATTTCGAAAATATTATTATCACTAGGTCGCAGACAATCATGTTAGGTATTCTTATTTAAGAAAAAAACATTAATTTGCGGCGTTTATATTTTAACACGATTTGTTACTATTGTACACATTATTATACAATAAAATGAAATAAATTTTAATAAATAAATCTAACCTTATATTGTTTTAAAAATAATGTAAAGAAAAAATCATAATAATATAATGTAAATGGGCGTTTATACAGATTTTGTAAACTTAAACGATGTAGGATTACATTTCAATCCATAGTAATTTTAACATTATATTCTACGGTTATTTCAATTTTATACAAATATATGTATTTATTATGGAAGAAAAAAAAATAATACTAATAAATGTCTTAGACCAAATGGTTATATTAATATTAATACGTTTTCAATATATTTATGCGTTTTAGTATAAGAACTCAAGTGTATATTATTATTATGGTGAATATGATACAATGGACGGAGAAATTTCAACCGCTATAAATTCGCTAACAAATCTTTGCGATTACTGTCAAAAGATCCACTCAAATTTCAAACAACGGAATTCCCATAAAACGGCATTTACGATAGTGTATACATAGGTATAAATGTTCAACACGGTTTATTACCTACGCGTATTTTTCGTCTTAACAAATCTGGACAAGAAAAAAAACACATGTTTTTAATATTTATAATATTGTTGGGAACACACGAAATTTGGTCGGTATGTGCCAAGTCCTATCGAGTGTATAAGATCCTTAAGGCAGAATGAAAATTTTATGTTAATATTTTAAATACAGCTTAATATTAAATTATAATTTTAGTATCACTTTTGCAAAACGTACTCAATTATGCATGCATATGCCAAACTCAACCATATGCGCACCGCTGAAACGTTTACGCTTTATTTATTTATGTAATTATTCATTTTTAGATTGTTATTGAAATTTATGAGACTAATTATGTGTTATATTCGAGTATCATGGTCATCATAAAATGTGTACGGTGTATCTCGACGAAGAAAATCAATGACGTTTTTCGATCCTTGATGTTGTTCGCATACGTTGTTTAATAATTTATTCACCTACGGTTATTTCTACGATTGGATTTTGATCAACAGTAGTTGATCTTATCAAAATAACAATTTTATTCTTCGGATTTTAGCAACAGCGATTTCTTCTTATTGATATTGCGATGTTGGTGGTTTAAATTGTGTACAAGGACCACTGGCATGGAACTTTATTAGTCAACGTTTCGCAGCGCAACATAATAACAATTATTGTGTTATTTTTTTCAATATTACGTTTGTTGAATAATGTAACGCTACTTGGGAGGTGCTTCGTGCATTGAGAATAATTTAGCTTGACATAAATGTAGCACGTATAGATACGCGGGTTGCCATGCGCGCAAATACTTCGAATACAAATATTGCTGCGGCGGATGAGTGTCTGCGGAATTGTACAATTAGTTTCTGGATTACTAGAAAAGCCGACGACGACGTTGTATAATTGTAATAATAATTATTATTTTTTACGTTTACTTCTCGACGCGGGATATTAGATTTCATCGTCGCGCACGAAACCAATAATAATAACGCTATAATACGCTGCAGTAAAATAAATATAAATATAAAATAAAAAAAATAAAAATACACGTATAATAAACATAAATACTATCGAATCAAGCTTTCAGCCGGTCGTGTGTATTCGTTTTCTAGAAACCGCTGGCGAACGTACGGGGCATATATTTTAATAGTAATATATTCCTCGACCGGCGGGAGTATTATTCCCTCGTAAAAGACGATCGAACAGTTTGCATAAATAAACATGTCATTTGTTCGGAGCCATCTGCATGGAAAACAGCATAATAAAGTTTGAGGACAAAACGATGGTATCACAATGGTATTTTATGTACAAATGGCCAGACAATTTTGACGTTCGATCCATGTTTATTTTCTTATTATTCTTTTCCACCACTCTCTTTTTTTTTTTTATTCTTCGATATATACCGTCGACGCCGCCGCCACATCTCCTTTTTTTTTTTGCGATTTTAAATCGTAATAAAAAGAAACGATTCGCGCCGTTACACCACGCACGCATCCAACACAACAATCTATACTATTTACTATATTATATTATGTTCGCGAACGACGCGAACAACGGTATACAATATGGGGATACGTATCGGTCACGTCGGCGATGATTAATCAATTAAAAAAACAACATTATAATAATAAAAATAAACGAAAAAACAGGCTCGGGAATTCCTCTAAAGGTCACTTCGAGCAGCATTGTTCTATATCGATGAAATAGCAATTTGTTTACGTATGCGTGCGCACCATTGTCTTGATGCACATACGTATCAATACATGAAATCGACGACGATTCAATTGAAAACCGTCGAACCGTCTTAAACGAAAACCGTATGTGCAATGTGAAGGTGTAATATATAATGATAGGTGTTTTGCGAGTTATTTTATCGGTGCACCGTAAAAGAAAGTTATATAACCATTGCGTGAGCCTCCGAATGAGTTAAGAAGAATTTTAATCAAGCCCATTTGATATGTATTTATTTGAATAAATTTTGGTAGGATAATTCAATACGATTCCGTTGGGAGAATAATTCAGTTTTATTTTTCGAATCGGTTTTGTAGTTTTGAATCCTAGACCGGCTAAATAATATTAATTAGCAGTAAGTTATCGAATTGACAGTTACGTACGATATACAGAGAAAAATAATACTAACGTTAGAAATTTATATTGTTTCTTTAGAAATTGCAAACAATTCACTACTAATATTTTTACGGAAATCAAAAATACTACTGTAATAGGTAGATTTCATAAAGTGTACCGTAACATGTATAATAACGCATGAAATATTTTAAAACAATTTTAATTGATTTTCATGCATTTTTTTCAAACTTAGTGACTCCCGAAAATAACATATAACCGTTTACATATTATCTTTGTGTGCCAAACTTTTTTTAAAAGAAAAAAATTATATAAAAAAGTAGTATTGCAGTTACTATAATGACTAATAATTTTACACTAAAAGCAGCCGGTTTCCTTTTTTGGTGCATGGTGTTTTTTCTTCCTTGCTTAACGATAATTTCGGTATCCATTATGACTTGTTTTACAATATGTTGATTAATTTTCTTGTAAGGTGCGGTCACAAATCTTTTACTTCAGTAAATGCATTTTACAGGTGTGCATAAATATTTTGCGACTGTTCAATAATTATTTACATTGGATTTACCCGATGGAAGATATTTATATCGTTAATACAAACTATTTATCATACATAATGTCCATATATATTATAACTTATACGTATACATAAAATGGTATAATACGAGTATATGAATATATTATAATTTTTCGAATAAACCAATAATTTTAAGACGTAGTTCCTTTATATTTAAAGCTTGATTATGTGATCCATCATTCCTTAACAGTATGAAAATAATATATTCAATCACACGCACGTGTATAATCATGCACGCAAAAAATCAACACTTCAGTTTTCAACTGAAAAGTCATATTATATTATTAATACATCTTATAATTTTAAAGTCATTTTAAAAT